TTTGATTTTATATTGTCGTGGCTGGATTGATTTTGTCTTCAGGAGTTCCGCGGTAGCCCAATTCCAATGTGGGTCAGAAATGTTCAGACTTTCTCCTTATGTCTGGAATCTTCTAAGAATGATTTTGGCCTCAGGAACTTGGATATTGGACTGACCTGAGACCCTGGCAGTGGCCGCGCCACACAGGGATGCATAGGCAGATGGGGTGGGAAGAAGCCCCAAGATTTCCCAGGGAGTGGATTGAGTAGCTGGGTTGTACTGGATGCAAAGGATCAGGGAGAGGAAAGGTAAGCTTTGGAGTCCCAGAAAGAGGCTGTCAGCCCCAGCAAGAGGCTGGCAGGTGTTGCAGGACCAGGGAAGTAGAGAGAAGTAAGGGCCGGGCCAGGTCCAGAAGCGGTGCCCCTGGGGCCCAAGAAAGGCACTAAGTTGGTCTGGGTGAGAAGGGTCAGGAAGCAGTATTGGTTCCCCCGGTGTCTGGGGCCCCAAGTCTAGGGATGGCGCAGGTCCCAAACTAGGAGTAGCGAACAGCGGGGGAGATGGAAGGGTGAATGTGGCTTGGGGAGTCAAGGCGCGGAGGGCTGCGCTATAGACTTACCCCTAGAGGCCTGAAGATAGGAGTGCAGCACACACAGTTACTTTTAAGACCAAGCAGCCAGCTGACAGGTATCCTCTAGTCCCTGCAGCTTTGTTCCCATAGTTCTGTAGCACTGATCTTGCCTGAGGATTGATGTTAGTGGTACATGATTCTCCAGAAAACTCAGCAAGAGGAGTAAGGTTGTATCAAGGGTTGATCTTTGGGAGAGCCACAGATCAACTTTTTTTTTTCCATTCTCACCTATAACAAATTTCCTTCCCAGTTATTTTCCTCTCTTCTATAAACACATGCTGTACACATCAAAGCCAAAGGGAGTAGGGACTCTGCACCTCATAGTGCTCTGATGAGAGGCAGTAGTCCTTTGCAGAAGACTGGGGTTTACATCTGCTGTGACCTGCCCTCCTATTGCAGCTTTACCTCGTGCCCAAGGAGTCTTTGTGTTCTTTGTCCAGGTCATTTCTAGTTAAAATCTGTTATTTAATAAAAATAAAAGATCTGTTTAGTTCTGTGAATTACTTTTATTTCTTCTGATTTTAGGAGTTTAAGCATGTTTTGGTTAATAAAAGATTGTGTAAAGTGATAATTATTCTTTAATCACTTAAGGGCTGGAGAGATGATTGGGCAGTTAAGACCTAGTACTGCTCCTGCAGAGGGACCTGAGTTTGTTTCCCACACCCACATCCTGCAAGCTCCAGAGGATCTGGTGCTTCGTGGCCTCTGTGGGTACCAACACTCATGTGCAAATACCCACACACAGGCAAACAGAAATACACACACATAATTATTTTAAAATAATAAATCCTAAAAAATTCAGTTAAAAGTAAACTTGTTTTATATTGAGTTATTAGCTTAAATGTAAATGGCATTTTTAATAGCTTAAAATATCCAGCTTATATCTATACTTTTAGTTTTACCTTTAAATTCTTCTTGATTCTTTCTTCTTCTCTTGTCCTTAATTATGTAATGGCTAATGATTGTAGAATCCTTGTTTGTGGTGTCTTAACTCTGTTTTCATAAAGTATATAGTAATCTTTTAATATATCATCAGATCCTTCTGGAACCAGTGTTACAGGTGGTTGTGAGCAGCCTGATGTGTGGGTACTGGCAACCAAACCCAGGCCCCCTGCAAGAAAAGTAAGGCTCTTAACCACTGAGCCTCCATAGTAACTTCTGTAGCTTATAATATAGAATATTTCAAAAACAAAGGCAATCTTTGTTAATCTGTATTTGTCAGAATGTTTAAGACATCAGTATTAAAGCATTTTTCCTTTCTATTGACCCGTCTCCATGCTCCTTTGTGCTAGAAAAAATATAGGTTACTTTTGCCCTCCATAACTTCTGAACCAGTTTCCATTTTTAAACAGCTTCAGGCACTCCTTCAGATTTGGCCTAAACTGCCTCCCAGGGAAGCTCTGGAGCTCCTGGATTTCAACTATCCAGACCAGTATGTCCGGGAATATGCTGTGAGCTGCCTACGACAGATGAGGTACCTCCTTCAGGGACTCTTCTTGGGGCCAAGGAGTAATCTAAGGGTGGGTAAGGAAGAAGGTGGCTCCTTGAATGTCTCATAAGAAAGGTAAAAGCAAAGGAAGCTTGTTTCAGATTTAGTGGCCAGGACTTTTATTGGGTGCTAGTAATATAACTACCCCCTGTCTAGCCTGCACCAAATTTCTGGGCTCCTCAAAGGAAACTGGGTATGCATCATAAATCATAGTGTTACACAAACAGTTTAGGTATGGTGAGCCACTCTTACCAATTAATGGAGTAGAAACTCTTCTGAAATTTTAGTTTCCAACTGCCAGCCAAGGCCAACCCTGTAGCTAGGCTTTCCCACACCAGGCCTGTGTTGCCTCTTCCCACATAGTCTGCTTATTACCCCAAATTATAATGGTGACTTTGTTTGTTAGATTGTTTATTATTTTTGAGAAAGGATCTCACACTGTAGTCCAGTCTAGGCTGGCCTTGAGCTTGCTTTGTAGCACGGGCTAGCTTCAAACTCAAGCTTACCCTGCCTCAGCCTCCCAAGTGCTGAAATGACAGGCATGGGCCACCAAGCCCTGTTGTGGTTCCTCCTGGCTTTGAAAATCAGGTCTTTTGTTTTTGTTTTTGTTCTGTCCTGTTCTGTTCTGTTCTGTTTTGTTTTGTTTTGTTTTGTTTGATACAGGGTCTCACTGTTCAGATCTGGCTGGACTGGAACTTGATATATAGACCAGACCGGCCTCAAACTCACAGAGATTGGCCTGCTTCTGCCTCCCAAGTGCTGGGACCAAAGGCATGTGCCACCATGCCCAGCTAACTTCTGATTTTATAATATTTGTAGGTTTAAAAAAATATATATTTTGTTATTTTTATTTTATGTGTATGAGTGTATTGCCTGCATTTATGTGAGTACACCCGTGCCGCAGAGGTTAGAAGAGGGCTTCGGATTCCCCTGGAACTGGAGTTAAGGATGGTTCGTAGCTGCCATGCGAGTGCTGGGAATCGAACCTGGCTCTTCTGAAAGAGCAATCAGTGCTCTTAACCGCTGAGCCATCTCTCCAGCTTCAATATTTGTAGGTCTTATACAAGGACAACATGGGTTTTTATGATACAGGTAATTAAGGTTGTAGTCTGGAGCTGGACATGATGGAAAACAGGCAGTGAGATCAAGGGCAGCCTGGTCTACATAGTGAGTTTCAGGCCAGCTGGGGCTACAAGGAAACCATGTCTCAAAAAAACAAACAAAAGATTGTGATACAGGCTGGCCTTGGAGATGCATGCCTAAATCCCAACACTCAGAAGTCAGTGTCAACTGAATCTTTTGAGTTTGAGGCCAGCCTTGTCTATATATAGTAGGTTCCAGGCCAGATGAAGTAAGAAAAGCCATTTTTTGCTGAATTAAATCTCCAGAACCCACAGAACTGACCTCCGTTATGAGCACCATGGTGTATATACACCACTCAGATGCACACATTTCACACACAACAATCATAATAAAAAAAAATTTTTTTGGGGGGGGGCGTCTTTTTGAGACAAGGTCTCCCTGTAGCCCCAGCTGTCCTAGAACTCACTATGTAGACCAGGCTGGCCTTGAACTCACAGAGATCCTCCTGCCTCTGCTGGGATTAAGGTGTGTGCCACCACACCCGGCCATAATAAAAGTTTTAAAATAATTATGTTAAAGTAAGTTTTGGGGTAACTCTTAGATGACTATAATACTTAATGATAACAATTCATTTGATAAAAATATTCCATGTGCCCATTCTTTGATGCTGTCCTGTTCATATCTCACATCTGAATTCCATAATGTTGTTGTGGTGTTGTGATTAATCATTTAGCATTTGATAGTTTTCAGGAAGGAATCTTTTTCTGGCACAAGTGGTTGAGTTTCTTTATTTTCTGTTTCTTTCAGTGATGAAGAACTCTCTCAATATCTTTTACAATTGGTGCAAGTTTTAAAATATGAGCCTTTTCTTGATTGTGCCCTCTCTAGATTTCTCCTAGAAAGAGCACTTGCTAATCGGAGGATAGGGCAGTTTCTATTTTGGCATCTTAGGTAAGTCTTTATATTTCAATTAGAGACCATACTGTGCTTCAGTAAGTATAATACAATATAGTAAGATGGTTAGGATGTTTAGGAATGGTCACTTGCTTTAGTGGTTTCGATTGATCTGTTTATTATTTATACTGCTTTGGTACCTTTTACTTTAAAAAAAAAAACTTTATTGAGAATTTCATACATGCATATAAGGTGTTTTGATCAAATCCATACCCACTCTCCTCCAGCTCCTCCCATATCTCCCCATCACTTTTTTCTGATAACCTCATATACTCTTTTTTTTTTTAAAAAATGGGGCTTTTTGCTACTCTAACATTCCCGCCTCTGAAGAGATATCCCTAAAATCTTTTAAGGATTAGATAAGAGGTCCCAAATACTTCCAACATTTTTGGCCTTTGGAATGGAGTATGTTGATAAGAGGCCCAAGGATATCTTGACTTTTAGCCAAGAAACTGGCTACTTTTCTTTGGGGTCTTTTTACCTTAACTGCCTAGCCAATTCCTACCTTCTATTATCACACCATCCCCTGAAGAGGTTACCCACCTTGCAGATAGGGGATCGGGATGCAGACCACTCTGGCTTTTTCCGTGCTGAACAGGGGCACAGGGTGAGGCATTTGGGGTACCCCTTCAATGGGTCTAGATAGATAGTCTTTAGATAAAAGACTCCTAAATTGCATAACTCTTATCTGTAGAGGGAAAAGAAGGTCCTTGAATCATGAATAGGAGAAGTAAAGGGAACTAGAAAAAAGTCAGAACCAGGAAAATTTCAAGTGTTCATATCAGAGTCCATTGGGATTTCTTGACAAGGGCTTCCAAAAGCATCCCTCTATTGGGTTTGTCCCCATTTTTCTTCTGTCTGCCAAGGCTGGACTCTAGAGTGATGGATTCAGGGTTTGCTTTCAGGGATTTTGATAGCTGTTGGGGTGGTTAGAATCAGTGGCAGTTCCCTCTCAAAGGCTTCACCATGTGCAGGCAGGATCTGGGCACTCTCAGGCAGTTCCCTGCATTCTCAGCCCCTATGCCAGAGGAAGACCTTTTACTTTTTTGTCTTTTTGAGACAGGGTCTCTTTGTAGCCCCAGCTGTCCTGGAACTCACTATGTAGACTAGACTGGCCTCAAATTCACAGAGATCCTCCTGCTCTGGCTCCCGAGTGCTGGGATTAAAGGTGTGTGCACCACACCTGGCTCTTTTACTTTTTGAAACCCAAACTTGATTTTTGTGATTTGGCAAGGTAATTTGGGTAAGTATCCCTGTGGGGTCTCTCCGTCCCCTCATGGGTCGTTGGCCACTGATCCACGAGGACAAAGGGAGCAGAAGCAATGAACGGGGTCAGGATGGCCAGTGAGCACTGACGGAAGAAAGCCCTTCCAGTTAGGCAGGTTCAGTGATATATAGCTCCAGACTCAGTGAGACAGCTCCTTTATTCAGTGGGGGTTAGGGAAAATATAGTGTGGAGGCAGCAGCCAAAGCTTCAGCTGATAGGTGCTCATAGTGTGCTTTATTTACATGTGGCAGGGGATCCTATCATCCGACTATGGGCAATGCCTAATTATCATGTAGAAAAAAACCTGGGGGTAGTTTTTACTCCAGGTAACTATACCAAAGGTCATGTTCCAAATAAGGTCAGGCATCCGTGCTTGGTGGCACTTTCCAGGTAAGTCAGGCAGAGAGCAGGAGGCCCCCTGCTGCGAAGGGGGGGGGGCCTTCCATATAGTACCGAGCCCCTTAGAGCTATCCGGACATGGAGGACTACAACCCTAGCAGCAGGGTCCCCCAACATATCCCTCCATGCTTTCTTGGTTTTTAGCTGAAACTAATAATTGTCAGATTGTTAGTTTCCAATAAACTAATTTTCTTAATATATTTTGGCAGATTTATTTATTCCTTTTAGAGGTTTGTGGGTAGTATTTTTGTACCACTATTACTGAGTAAAGTCAGTGGTGGTTGGATGGATAGGTGGGTAGATGAATGGATGGATAGGTGGGTGGGGTGGGTGGGTGGGTGGATGGATGGATGGATGGATGGATGGATTGAATTTGCGGTGCTGGGGGTTTAATGCAGGGTCTGGCTCATGTTTAGTCAGTGCTTTACCACTCAACCACATGCCCAGTTCATTTTAGTTTATCACCTAGGTCATTTTTACAAACACATGAACCTTAATTTCACTAATCAAATGGGAATAAAATCAAGAAGAGCTACAGTTACTCTTTCGTTTACTAGGAAAATAATAGGATCTTCATTTTTGACTTTCTATTCAAGCGTTTTTGGTTTCTTTCTCATTGAACCAGCTTACTGAAACTATCAGAAAAAAAGTCTCCCTTCCTTACCTTTTGGCTTAGCTTCTTCAGGAAAGTGTGGCCTCTGTAATACTATGGTATTGATTTTAGGGGGTATTCTAAATTATTAACAAATTGGAAGGTTTGCCCATCTTCCTAATAATTATGCTGGAGAAGACCAGTTCTCTTCTCTGGTTGGTGTCATAAGTGTCCTGATAGAATACAGAAGTCAGTGTTTCTATTCCATGATTTGAAATGTGTGATAAACTAGCCATTTGAATTTTGACTTTTTGCAGGTCAGAGGTGCATATTCCTGCTGTGTCTGTACAGTTTGGTGTCATTCTTGAAGCATACTGTCGAGGAAGCATAGGACACATGAAAGTGCTTTCCAAGCAGGTATCAACTTTTGTTTGAATCTCCACATTCAATTTAGGACATACTGGTTGATAAGTTAATCAAATACAGTTTCTTCTACCACATATTTCATAGAGATTTCAGCAACTCAACCTCATCAGTACTTTTGCGGAGGAGGCAGAATCTCATATAGCTTAGGCTGGCCTCACTATTTAGCCAGTGATAAACTTTGTACTCCTGATTCTCCTGCCTCAGCATTTTGAGTGCTGGGACAGTTGTGTGCTGCTATATCCAGTTTATGCTGTTCTAGTGATTCAACCCAGAGCTTTGTGTATGCTAGATAAGCACTCTACCAACTGAGCTAGAGCCTCAGCCCTCAATACATTCTTTCATGAATGTTGTCAAAGTTAGGTTTTAACAAACTTAGCAGGAAAACAACCAAATGGCCCATGAAGCCAAGATTCCTCATTTTCTCTATTAATAGGATGCCTTAAATTTTAATAGGCCATACTTAGACATGCTTAATGATGAGTATGAAGGTAGTGGTTTTTTTACCTGATTTTTTCATATCCCCAAGTTACTTTTTCCAATTAGTAGCACATTAAAATTTTTTTTCTTTCTTTTTTTTTTTGGTCTTTTTGTGACAGGGTTTCCCGGTAGCCCCAGCTGGCCTGGAACTCACTATGTAGACCAGGCTGGCCTTGAACTCACAGAGATCTACCTGCCTCTGCCTTCCAAATGCTGGATTAAAGGCATGTGCCACCACGCCCAGCTCGTATTGTTTTTTAAAATTTTATTTTATGTGTAAGAACATTATTAGGCCTGCATATATGTAAGTGCACCCATGTTGTACAGTATCCATGGAGGCCAGAAGAAGACGTCTGTCAGATCCCCTGGAACTGGAGTTATAGATAGTTGTTAGCCGCCATGTGGGTGGTAGGATTCAAATCTGGGTCTTCTGCAAGAGCAGCCAGTGCTCTTAACTAAGGAGCCATCTCTTTACCCCAGATATTCATGTTTTAATTCAGAGCTAGTGTCCAGTAGAACTTAAAAGGTCTCTTTATTTCCTTTTTTCCACTGCCATTGCTTTGGTAAAGAGATCATGGGCCCCTTTGGAGAATGCTGGGAGAAAGAAATTGCAGTGACTGTGTAGTACAGGAAATGAAAGTGTTACGGGGATTAGCATGGCTCGGTCTATGGGTGCATATGGGAGATGAATCCTCTACTTAGATGTTTACTATTGCTGTGGATTAAGCATCACAGCACAAGCCATATGTGACTAGTAAAAAGCAGAGTGATTTTACATTGATGCAAAACCTGTTGATGCATTCTGAAACCAGTGTATTAGATCCACTTGGCTGAAAATTTCCTACTATGTTAAAAAGTTGCTCTCAGGCTACTCCTACTTTTTTTTTTTTCTCTCATCTTTTACACCCGTTCCTGTACCTTGTGGATGGTGTAGTTTATTTTATCAATTTCATTATTTTCATCACCTTTTGTGAGAGAGAGAGAGAGAGAGAGAGAGAGAGAGAGAGAGAGAGAGAGAGAGAGAGCAGGTTTCTGGAGTGGGTTCTCCTTCTACCATGTTGAGACAGGCAGACTCCAGGCTAGCTGGCCTGCAAGCTTCCAGGCCAGTCTACTGTACCCACATGTTCTGCTTTTCCTGTAGGCTTGGGGATCTAACTCAGATTGCCAGCAGGTGCCTTTACTCAACTAAGCTGTCTCATTGGACTGATGTACTCAGGTTTTTGTTTTTTAAGCAGTTGTGGTTTCTTTAAAATTTATTACTTTTTTTTTTTTTTAACGTGTGTGACTGTATTGCCTACCTGTACCCATGTCGTGCAGTGCCCACAGAGGTCAGAAGAGGGCATCAGATCCTCTGAATCCGGAGTTAAGGACAGTTGTTAGCGGCCATGTGGGGGCTGAGACTCGAACCCCGGTCCTCTGCAAGAGCAGCCAGTGCTCTTAACTGCTGAACCATTGCTCTCGCCTCTGTACTTAGCTTTTTCTGTATAATACTTCAATTCCACTACGTTTCTTTCTTTTTTTCCCTTTGTTTATCTTTTCTTCTATGATAGAGTTTCACTCTGTAACTCAGGCTGCCCTTGGACTCATGATTCTCCTGCCTCATTCCCATCCTCCCAGTGCTGAGATTACAAGAATTTGCCACTATACCTAGGTCTGTAGTGCAATTTTCTAACTCATTTGCCTTGCCAGAGAAACTTGCATTGGCTTGTTAAATGATTTTAATATTTAGGGCTTTTCCCGATATTAAGCAACCATTCTCATCTCCATCCTTTTAGAAAGCCCATTTGGTATGGTAATAATAGCTAACCTTTATTCACAACATGAAACTGGGATTATTAATCCTTAATTTTAGAACCTAGCATTCATGGCTATCACCTTAATATAACCCATTATCTCATCTTACCTGTGCTCCGTTAACCTACCTTGGGCTCTTCTCATTCTTGCACCCCCTACCCCCATTGCTAATAAAGTGATTTTTATTTCCCATTACATCATTTCCCCTTTGAAATTCCTACAATAATGCTTCATTATACTGATAATCCAAATCTTCTACAAAGACTTGTAAGATCCCACTTGGTCCCTACTCTCTCGACCTCATGTGGCATTGTCCTTCCCTTTCTCATGTCATTAAACAATGCTACACATTTTCTTGGTTCCCTTAGAGCATTATGTGACTTTGTAGCAAGGCATATGTCTGAATAAATCTCATTCTCTCACGCAGGACCTCTTGAATCACAGGCAAGCACTCTAGTGCTGAGCCGTATCCCCAGCCCCCACCTCCACACACATTTTATTATTATTTTTTTAATATTTATTATTTTTATTTCATCTGTGAGTATTATGCCTGCATGTAGGTAAGCGCACCCGTGTCGTGCAATGTCCGCAGAGGTCAGAAGAGGCCGTCGGATCTCTTGGAACTGGAGTCATGACAGTTGTTAGCTGCCATGTGGGTTCTGGGATTCAAACTCGGGTCTTCTGCAAGAACAACCAGTGTTCTTAACCTCTGAGCCATCTCTCCAGCCGTATTTATTTTTTAACTTTTGGTCTTTTTGAGACAGGGTCTCCTTGAAGCCCTAGCTGGCATGGCACATACTCAGTAGAACAGGCTGGCCTTGATCTCACAGAGATCTCCTGGGACTAAAAGAATGCCATCACCATGCCTAGCATTGACCTCTTTTTTTTTTTATCTTGAAGTTCTAAAAACATACTTGTATGTTTTCTTTTCTTTTAATTTATTTTTTTATTTCTTTTATTTTTTTAGAAGAAGCATTTCATTATAGTTTTAACATACTCAACAACAATTTCCAGAGCAAAGGTACATCTTTTTCAAAAGTGGCGATATAAATTTTAAGTTCACAGTTCAATTAATACAGTCATACAATATTGAACTCAGTATAAACCCTGTCAGACATAAAATTGAGTGAGTTTTTATCCTTTAAAGAAGATCTCCATTTCAAGATATGTTGTTTGCTACATTTTTAATGCTACTAACGCTTAGATGTTTGCACATGTGTCTTTAATCTCTATGTATCTGATTATTACTAGTCACAGTTGGTTACACTCGGATCTTTAGTACCTGAGTGTGGATGTAAAGTCATCAGGTAGATTTCACTGGTAATGTTTATCCCCTCTACTATTTCACATGAAGGAAATTTAAAAAAAATTTTTTTAATAACTACATGATTAGAAGAAGTATTTCATTACAGCTTTAACATATTCAGTAACCCACTCCAGAGCAAGAATACATCCCTTTCACAAGTGGCTGTAAGTTCCTAGGTTCACAGTTGAATTAATAACAGTTATACAATATAAGAACTCAGTATAAGCCCTGTAAGACATAAAATTGAATGAGTTTTTAACCTTTAAAAAAGATCACCATTTCATTTTAGAATATATTGTTCCTTGCAGAAAGACTCGTTTTTGCTACTAACACTGAGATTTTGGCGCTTGCATCTCTAATCTGTATGTATCTGATTATTACTAGTCATAAT